TTCCGCCACGTTTTGTTTAATTCTAATTTGGGCCGGTACCCTCATTAATGGTGTGGTATATTCAAATCTCATACTTAACATTAGTCTGTCAGAACAACAGTCGACGAGACTCTTAATTCCAATGCAATTAAAGTGTCACTTCAAGAGATCTCCCTGGAGCGTGCTCGGGGTACTGAATTAGGACGAGGGGGTTCATAGTTAGCTGGGGTACGGACAATCAATGGCAGAGGGTGGGAACTCTTTTCCACTTCTTGTTACGTAATTAAGCAGAAGTTTTTGGTAATGCCGCGCCTAACAAATCTCTTATGGAGGCCTGATACCATAACATGTTGGATAACTCTTGGTTCCGCATACCATGTAGTAAATTAACTTCCTGGTAAGACGCATGTGGTGTACTGAGATCACCGCTTTGATTTCTTGAGTACCGAAATGTGACTAACGCGAGACAAAAGGTCTTCATCCGTTCAAACAACGCTAGGACGTAAATCTTTCACAACGTCGGAGACGATTTTCACTAAAATTGATATCCTCCATCGCGGGATCTGGGACTGGGAACGGAGCTCAAGGCCTGGTGAACGATGTAGAACAAGATGTAGTTCGGTTCTGAGTTGTTGGGGTGCATTTTACATGAACGCGCTCAATATTTTAAGGAACACTTGTCTTCTCAAAATGGGCTTCCTTTTGATAGGAGGCAACACGCTTAAAAGACGGCAGGCCGCATTTTCGTGGACACTCTGCATTTTCGAAAATTGCAAATGTTCAAACTATTGTCAGTCTTCTACAACTTAATAGTGAAGATAGATATGTTTTTTCCTTAGAATCTCGCGGCACAATTTCGAAGATATTTTAATTTCCCCCTTCTTCTTCTGCTGAGTCTTCTCGACGGGTAGCGACGATGGGACACTCGGCCGCGAACACGGCCCCGCCGAGGGCTGTTTGAAACCATCTCTCGGGAGAACTTACGTCATTGGTTAACCGTGATTATTCTCGACTCGCTATTAGAAACAGTTTGGGGGATTGAGCACAGTGTGGGTTTCGTTTTTGCGGGGCGGTTTAAAAGACATTAGTTTTCGCCCCCCTAATGCGCTACGATTAGGTAATGAGTTAGTGAGCTGAGATGTGTACACTATGGGTCAGCAATTACCTCGGATTATAATATTACGTAACCGTTGTTTAGTGCGGGAAGTTCCGCGTAGTTTTGGAGGCACCACCTAGTTTAATTGTACTACTGCACTATCGTGTTCCGCAAATAACACATTATACTAAAGAATTAAATGAATTATGCCTAGCTTCTGACTTAATTTGAAACATAGAATATATGTGAGAAAAGGGTCACTTAATATGTTGCATCAACAACTTCTACTTGGCGAAAAATGGTTTTACTTATGGAATGTATTCTCGTAAATTTCCTAAATTTTGTCCGTTTTGTACGCGGGTTAAGTTTTCACATTTCTTTCCCTCTCTACAAGTAAATGTCGCAGGCAGTTGTATTATTATTGTTTGCTGTCGCTAATTAGTCACCCTTTACGAGAACTGGCTAATGAAAGAAATGTTAAGATGCAAATGCGATTTTTTGGTTGCAAATAGTGACTTTCTTGTTCTTTGATGCCAAATGAAGTTGAAGGGTCTCGAGGTATTTTGTGAAGATTGTTTTGGAACACAGTAAATTCGAAAGTGCCCACACGTATATTTATGAATTTTTGCGTCTGGAGTAAGAGGAATAATTTTTCACGCTAAAAACTAATATTTTACCAAGGCAACAAAATTGCATTATATTAATCTAATTATTATTATTATTATTTATCAATTGGTGAATTAACTGTTGTTAAAAATTGACACTGAATGTATTACCGTGAGGTAATACAATTTTAACAAATTCTTGTATAATGCTTATTGAACATTATGTTCAGTATCCTGAACGAAAACTTTCAAAATTGACGTATTTACTACTTTTTTTGGGTCAAAAGTGCATTTACATGAAGTGCTAAATTGAAGAGTTAAACTAATGCTTCCTCGTGGCTAGCGCTGTGATGCAGATATGACACTTATCTTTGTTATGATTTCATGTAAAAGCCGCTACGCGGTCACCCAATGATATCAACCAAATTAGTTTTGTTTCGCGTCGTAAAAGGAAGACCGTTAGGAGCTGCTACAGGGGAATGACAGCGACAAACTTTCGCTCTCGTTTGCAATGTGTGTTTGCTCCGGTCATCATTACGGTTTATCTTCGATCCGCTCCGCTTTGTAGCTGACTGGATCTAAGATCTACGCTACAAGTGGTTTGTTTTTAGTAAAATGGGATTCTAACTGGTCATACTGTCCTCGCGCGGATGCTTATGCCTTACCATTCAGTGGATAATAGCCTTTTGAGCGAGGAGGGTTTCCCAGTCAGACTCTCGTGTCCTTGATAGATATTTAAGTCCTCTTGGGTGAGACAACAGTATGAACGTGCGATCCGAGTCAACGCAACTCAGAGTGACAAGTTTAAAAAATTCCGTAACTTTTCTTTCGTTGGATCGCTTTTAGTGGAGTCTTCTGTAACGACTGTGGAATGTTTCATTTGGTTGTTGAGAGGAACGTCATAGCGCCGCTGCACATTGACGCAACTATGCTACGAGTCTGGCGCGGAAAGATTGTCGATTCTTCCGAAACGGTACAGTGTAAACGTGAAGAAAAGAAGAGGATGCCTTACGACAGAAAAAATTTCTTGCACGCCACTCCCACGTGCCTTAGCTCGAGACGCTCTGGTGTTAGGGCTTATTCTTAGTTTCTGGAAGTAGCGTGTCTCCGTCATACGATTTGAAGATGGAAAGTGTTCAGAGATGTATCAGACAGAATGTATGTTGATACCGTGGTTTCTCCGCCAAAGGCTGTGGAAAGAAGTGCTTAAATCTGGACGATGCATGACCACCTTGCAAAGTTCTTCGTTCTGGAGCTATTGTTGAACCCTGATTTAACGGTCGTTTTGGCGGTCTCCATGTTTCGACGCTGGTATCGTTCGCGCTTTTTAGATTACTGGGTCCGGGCGCGCTTCGGGACTAGTGTTTCTAACTAATTGAAGACGTCACTGGTTCACGGGTAGCCATAACATCTGCGCCCTGGCAGCCGGCATTCCATTCTCTTCCCCCGCTTGCAGCAAATCTCCCTCCGTTTCCGTCTGCGATGCCCAGGTATCCTTACTCGGGAGTATTGGTGCGTCGTGCCCCTCTGCCTCCAGGAAATTGATACAGGAGGTATCAATCGGGGTTTCAGATGTTGGATGAAAAATGTGCATTCGAAGCAACGTTTGGGGAATCTGCCCGAGATCCAGCGAGGAAACAAAGTCTCGTTTTAACAGGGCCGTTAAAGGAGCCTTTCTTTCATGTTTTCTTGCAGATGCATTAAACCTCCAGAATTCTTACCCAGTTGGTGGCGTAATAGTGTCATAAAAAGGCTTGTAAGAACCCCCCTTGTTGCAAAACCTTACGCATGTGAATTTCAGCGCAACTCGTGTGACAATCATGGGTGTACTACTTGTAAAGTCATTAAGCGCCTATGCAAAGTGAGAGTTTGAATTTGCAAAGTGATGGTGTGTTATCCCTGGCGTTATACATAACGCAAAATTTGAGATTTCAGTATTGAATAAAAATGTTATTTAAAACATTTGTTTTAATTGTTATACCATCAACTTCCTGTCATCATTTCATATGAATATTAAAAATCTATTTTTGCATTACAACAAACGCATGGCTCTCCTGTATTCTCAAGTAAAGTAAATAATTTACATCTTTCAAAGAAGAATATAAGTTAAGTACCTTTCAACTACTTGGTGGTTCTGGACAATCCCTCAATCCATCAAATAAATAAACTGTTGATCTCAATAAAGATTTCATATCATTCAATGTATTATAATACTTTTTTTATTTATTTGCATTTATGCACTTTGCACTAATGTGAGTTCCCTTTTTCTAAAGAATTCAACCAGTTTTTTGTTTTTCTGAATTGTAATTATTTTGTAAAGCTTACTCTATTGATCTGCTACCGTTTGTGTGCAAAGTGTAGTGTACAATTAGCCTTATCTAACTTTAAATTTCAAGAGCATGTTATTTAATTTAAGAAAACTATAACTTCTGTCAAAATGTTTTTCCTCTTAAAATATGCAAATAATGAACATGGGTTTCCAATTAGAATTTAGAATGTTACATGTAAACAAGGCGGGGCGCTGGGCGTGGGCGGGGGCCGCGCCCCGCCCCGTCCCGTCCCGTCCCGCCGCAGCGGGAGCGCTGTCCTGCCGGCCGAGCGCACGCGCGCGCACACGCGCACGCTCGCGCTCAGGGCTTTCTGTTCATCGTCACGCACACAACTTCCTTTAAGAGAATCGTGAAACAGCACAGAGAGACAAGTAAGTAATACAGCAACAACAGGGCAACATGAGAGAGCAAAGAGGCGTGGGAGCGGGGAGCTGTGACTCCCGCTCCGGGTGCTCTACGCCGTTGCGCAGGCGAGCGCGACCGCCGACGCCGGCCTGGGCACGAGGCCTGGGGCCCGGGCCAACGGAGACGCAGTCCTTTTCGAAGAGGAAAATCACGAAGAGTGCAAAAGTTGTGAGGTGGTCCCTCTCAGAGTGCTGAAAATTTGTTCACCGATTTTCTCTGGAAGTTCCCAAAACGAAAGTATTCTCTCCGGACTTCAGTTATATCATCAAATTCATTCATCAATGTCATTCGTCTCTGTATGTCGATAACAATATACGAACAGAACAACGTTGGTACAACTGTTACCAGTTGAATCTGAGTCGACGATGAAAATTTATAGTAAACTGCAATTTTACCTTTTGATGACGCAGTTACATTTATTTTCACACAATATGCAATATCAAACAGTTACAAGGGATGGAATTGTGTCTTGTTTCTAAGCAAACGAAGAACTGTAGCTTTAGATATTTGAACTAAGAGAACTATTGTTTGTTTTTCCACTGCTGTTAATTCTTATTCGACAAAAACGCACTTTTAGGACCCACATGACACTTTTGCACTGCTCATGGTTTTGAAATTCGAAAAAGAGAAATTTCATCTCCATTCTCGCAACCACTTTTCTGATTCTGTGACGTCACTTTATTAGGAAAGTACAATAATTTTTTTTGTTTGACATAAATTGAGAATGTATTTCGTTTTGATTCCAACTTGTATTATAATTGTAGTTAGTTTCTATATTTGAAAATGTATTCTTAATTAATAACTCGAGTAATAGCATTTATTTTTGTATTACATCGTACAAATGCAGTAAGGAGAGTTGTGAAAATGCTAATTCTTGATGTGTTGTAGTGTGAATGAACGGAAGTATTTGTACTAAGAAAGGAAATTATTGTCCACTGCTGTGTGTGCACATGTCAGGTGTTAATATTTGTTATTAATTATTTTCGTTAAGCTGCTAAGCGTAGATTTGAAAGTAGTCTGACCGTGTGTCATCGTGTGCTTTGCGTTGCGTGTGGAATGCATCGTGTGTGATCCGACCTCCTACTAAAGTGACGTCCCAGCGCCACGCCTTACGCAGTGGGCGTTGCCGCGTGAGCGGGCATGCCGTTGCGCATGAAGTCGCAGCAGACGCAGACGTACCCTAGGCCAACCCGCTACCCCCTCGAACCCATAGGCAGCTCCCCAGTCGTCGCAGTTTACTCGCGACCCCACACTCACACAAGTTTTATCGGTATGCGTTTACAACTCGAGATCGAATATTGCAATTTCTTTAATTCAAAATTTAGGATGTGAATCTCATAGTCTTTACGGCATCTAATAAATCAGTTTGTAATAAGTTCAAATTCAATAGATGAAATCTCTTTGGGTCGACCAGTTTCTGCTGTGTAGTCAAGATCGTTGAAGACAGCACCTGTGTGCTCTCATTTAACTTGAATTGGATTTTTCTAAATAGTTCCTGTAGTTTTAATTTTGTCAATTTACTTCATAGACCCACCAAATCACAAAATTTATTAGTATCATTGCAACCAAAAACGCGATAATGCTCTAAATATTTCAAGGGTTGTCGCAGTTTCCTAAACGCAAGTTGTGCTTTCAAAGTATACAAAGATAAATTTACAATTTACTTGCTAATAAACGTATCGTTTAACTATATTTTAAATATAATAAATAAATATTTTTTTAGTATTTATTGTATTCATTCCACTTTTAATTATAAATAATTTAAATTGTAATACAGGTAATATTAAATGCTATTTTGAAGATTATATGACATAAACTTGCAACACATGTTATATTGTTCATTTAATTAAAACTAATGACAATGATAGCAATTCTTTCAATATATTAAAATATATCCATTTTTTAAGTTTTTTCATGAAGGGTTTTCTATTCATTGTATGAAATTTGTCCCTTCAAGTATTTATGCAACTATTTTACCTCCAGATGATAATCGAACATCGCCTACTGAGGCCGATTGGCAGGGGCTGCCTGCGGGTTCGCGGGAGGAGTGGTCGCGGCCGGCGGGGCAGCTTGGGGCAGCTTGCGGCAGCGGCGGCGGTGGCGTAGGTGGCGGCGGCGGCGGCGGCGGCGGGGGGAAGGGGGTCTCGCCGTGGCGCAGCGCGGCGCAACGCGGGCGCTCTCCTGGTCACTTACCGTCCTACCGTTCGTCGACCGCGCATACATCACACGCCGTATCATGCGAGTAGAGAGATATGCACTATTTACATCGCAGATGATAATGGAACATCGCGCTACTAGAAGGGAGAGTATTGGTCAGGCATTCGCTTTGCCTGTGGCTTTCGCAGGGAGGAGTGGTCGCGGCCGCGGGGGCAGCTTGGGTGCAATCTTTGCAGGCAGCGGGCCAGCGTCGGTGAGCGTAGCGTTAGGCGGCGGCTGTGCGGCGGCGGGCGGAGTGTGTGAAGATTGATATTAGGGGGTCACTCGCTGTGTGGCGCTGAAGTCACGCTGGCGCAACACGCGAGGTGCAGAACTCGTCCTGGTCTCTTTAATACCGTATAATTGTCATGTGAAATTTTTATTCTAAAAAATATACCGTTAGTCGATATCCGGTTCCTATGTTCACAGCTCGCCGTACTTATCAGTGGACAGAGTGTAACGATGTTGATTACGAGATCGAGGCGCCGTGTCCGCGGGGCAGGCCAGCCGGGCCTGAGACTCTGAGCCGAGGCGGAGAAACCGGAAGTTGGTTTCAGGGTGCGGTGGCTCTGCGTGGCGGTGCAGATAGAAAGAGCAGTGCAGGCTGGATTGCGTGGGCAGGCGTGGCGCGCGTGGATGGAGTTGGGTGAGAAGGGGCGTGTGGGTGCAGATATCTCTACACGTTTAACCTGACGGCAAGCGAGCGATGTGACAACATTGAAAGAGGTCAGCCATCTTCTCGTTCTATCCGCACGCGAAACACGTTGCTGCGATGCGAATGTGACTAAAGAGCGAAGTCTGGACGTGGCGACGTGCTATTCTGCTAAAGGCAAGAAACTTTAAGGTAAATTTTGTGGTCTCATCTAACTCAGAAGACTCACGAGAGCGCGTCGTAGGGCCTTTCCGGAATAACGGCGTCTCTCGTATTGCCTACGGGCTCATCAATAGAACATTGGCGCGGCGCCATTGGGATGCACACGTGCGACACCATACTTTTCATCTACTCAGACTTATTTTTAGTTTTCTATGTTCTACTTGAGATTTTATACGCTTAATTCATATTGACCCTATCGTTGGAAGTTAAACATCTGGCATTTTAAATATTTTTTATAGAAATATATAAACAAATGTGTATACTCTGAATCGAACGTTCAACGTTTAACAATTTGGAATGTTAGGTAATGTAGTCACTTGAAGTATGGAAATATATCTAAATTCATTGATTAATGTATTTTCGCATGTGAAGGTAATATAGTCAAAAAATATTGAAAAAGATACTGTAACATAAAAAATACATGATAAAAAATTCGATACATCAATTTCTTGTGAATATCTCCAGCAAATATCCATGCCGCGGTGGTAGCAGTGTGAAGCAACTGAAGCCCGGTTGTAACATAAGAGTGACTGGTGCCTCTGTCATTGGGCAATGCAGGCTGACTGTGAGCCTGATCGCAATGCGCTGTGCGTGAGGTGCCTCGTTGCGTGTGGCGGTGGCAGTGGCGGTGGCAGTGACGGTGGCGAGGCGTTTGGCGTGACTGGCGTGGGTGGGCGAGGCAGGCGAGGCCGTGGGGTGCCGTGGTGACTGCGCGGCGCGGCGCGGCGGTGGCGTGGCGTGGCGCGGGGGCGGGCGGACGGAGCGAGGCGGGGCGACGCGGGGCGACGCGGGGGCGACGCGGGGGCGAGCGGGCGACGCGGGGCGACCGGGGCGACGG